TGGCATAGGTGGTTTCTAGGGTGTTGTGGGTGGTTGCTAATGGTGCTGTAGGTAGTTGCTAGGGTGTTGGGGGTGGTTGCTATGGTGTTCTAGATGGTTGTAATGATGTTCTAGATGGTTGCTAGGATGCCCTATGTGGTTTCTAGGGTGTTGAAGGTAGTTGCTAGATGGCATAGGTGGTTTCTAGGGTGTTGTGGGTGGTTGCTAATGGTGCTGTAGGTAGTTGCTAGGGTGTTGGGGGTGGTTGCTATGGTGTTCTAGATGGTTGTAATGATGTTCTAGATGGTTGCTAGGATGCCCTATGTGGTTTCTAGGGTGTTGAAGGTAGTTGCTAGATGGCATAGGTGGTTTCTAGGGTGTTGTGGGTGGTTGCTAATGGTGCTGTAGGTAGTTGCTAGGGTGTTGTGGGTGGTTGCTAACGGTGCTGTAGGTAGCTGCTAGGGTGTTGTGGGTGGTTGCTATGGTGTCCTAGATGGTTATAATGATGTTCTAGATGGTTCCTAGGATGCCTTATGTGGTTTCTAGGGTGTTGAAGGTGGTTGCTAGATGTCATAGGTGGTTTCTAGGGTGTTGTGGGTGGTTGCTAATGGTGCTGTCGGTAGTTGCTAGGGTGTTGTGGGTGGTTGCTATGGTGTCCGAGATGGTTATAATGATGTTCTAGATGGTTCCTAGGATGCCTTATGTGGTTTCTAGGGTGTTGAAGGTGGTTGCTAGATGTCATAGGTGTTTTCTAGGGTGTTGTGGGGGGTTGCTATGGTGTCCTAGATGGTTGTAATGATGTTCTAGATGGTTGCTAGTACGGCCTAGGAGGTTTCTAGGGTGTTGAAGGTGGTTGCTAGATGTCATAGGTGTTTTCTAGGGTGTTGTGGGGGGTTGCTATGGTGTCCTAGATGGTTGTAATGATGTTCTAGATGGTTGCTAGGATGCCTTATGTGGTTTCTAGGGTGTTGAAGGTGGTTGCTAGATGTCATAGGTGTTTTCTAGGGTGTTGTGGGTGGTTGCTATGGTGTCCTAGATGGTTGTAATGATGTTCTAGATGGTTGCTAGGATGCCTTATGTGGTTTCTAGGGTGTTGAAGGTGGTTGCTAGATGTCATAGGTGTTTTCTAGGGTGTTGTGGGTGGTTGCTATGGTGTCCTAGATGGTTATAATGATGTTCTAGATGGTTCCTAGGATGCCTTATGTGGTTTCTAGGGTGTTGAAGGTGGTTGCTAGATGTCATCGGTAGTTGCTAGGGTGTTGTGGGTGGTTGCTATGGTGTCCGAGATGGTTGTAATGATGTTCTAGATGGTTGCTAGGATGCCTTATGTGGTTTCTAGGGTGTTGAAGGTGGCTGCAAGGAGTCATAGGTGGTTTCTAGGGTGTTGAAGGTGGCTGCAAGGAGTCATAGGTGGTTTCTAGGGTGTTGAAGGTGGCTGCAAGGAGTCATAGGTGGTTTCTAGGGTGTTGAAGGTGGCTGCAAGGAGTCATAGGTGGTTTCTAGGGTGTTGTGAGTGGTTGCTATGGTGTCCGAGATGGTTGTAATGATGTTCTAGATGGTTGCTAGGATGCCTTATGTGGTTTCTAGGGTGTTGAAGGTGGCTGCAAGGAGTCATAGGTGGTTTCTAGGCTGTTGTGGGTGGTTGCTAATGGTGCTGTAGGTAGTTGCTAGGGTGTTGTGGGTGGTTGCTATGGTGTCCTAGATGGTTGTAATGATGTTCTAGATGGTTGCTAGGATGCCTTATGTGGTTTCTAGGGTGTTGAAGGTGGTTGCTAGATGTCATAGGTGGTTTCTAGGGTGTTGTGGGTGGTTGCTAACGGTGCTGTAGGTAGTTGCTAGGGTGTTGTGGGTGGTTGCTATGGTGTCCTAGATGGTTGTAATGATGTTCTAGATGGTTGCTAGGATGCCCTATGGGGTTTCTAGGGTGTTGAAGGTGGTTGCTAGATGTCATAGGTGGTTTCTAGGGTGTTGTGGGTGGTTGCTAACGGTGCTGTAGGTAGTTGCTAGGGTGTTGTGGGTGGGTGCTATGGTGTCCTAGATGGTTGTAATGATGTTCTAGATGGTAGCTAGGATGCCCTATGTGGTTTCTAGGGTGTTGAAGGTGGTTGCTAGATGTCATAGGGGGTTTCTAGGGTGTTGTGGGTGGTTGCTAACGGTGCTGTAGGTAGTTGCTAGGGTGTTGTGGGTGGGTGCTATGGTGTCCTAGATGGTTGTAATGATGTTCTAGATGGTAGCTAGGATGCCCTATGTGGTTTCTAGGGTGTTGAAGGTGGTTGCTAGATGTCATAGGGGGTTTCTAGGGTGTTGTGGGTGGTTGCTAACGGTGCTGTAGGTAGTTGCTAGGGTGTTGTGGGTGGGTGCTATGGTGTCCTAGATGGTTGTAATGATGTTCTAGATGGTAGCTAGGATGCCCTATGTGGTTTCTAGGGTGTTGAAGGTGGTTGCTAGATGTCATAGGGGGTTTCTAGGGTGTTGTGGGTGGTTGCTAACGGTGCTGTAGGTAGTTGCTAGGGTGTTGTGGGTGGGTGCTATGGTGTCCTAGATGGTTGTAATGATGTTCTAGATGGTAGCTAGGATGCCCTATGTGGTTTCTAGGGTGTTGAAGGTGGTTGCTAGATGTCATAGGGGGTTTCTAGGGTGTTGTGGGTGGTTGCTAATGGTGCTGTAGGTAGTTGCTAGGGTGTTGTTGTGAGTGGTCGCTATGGTGTCCTAGATGGTTGTAATGATGTTCTAGATCAGTGTTTCTCAACTCTGGTCCTGAGCGCCCCCCAACACTGCACCTTTTGTATGTCTCCCTTATCTGAGAAACACTGTTCTAGATGGTTGCTAGGATGCCCTAGGTGGTTTCTAAGATGTCATAGGAGGTATCTAGGGTATTGTGGGTTGTTGCTCTGGTGTCATAGGTGGGTCCAATGATGTTCTAGTTGGTTGCTATGCTGTCCAAAGTGGTTGCTAGGGACATCTAGGTGGTCACTAAGGTGTTCTGATTGTTTGCTAGGTGGTCCAATCTCAAATGAGCTCCCTCCTTCAATGTACATCTGTGGGATTTTTCCACCTCTTTTTTGCGCATTTTGAGCAAGTGAAATTAAATGCAAAGCTAACATGTAATGTTAGAGGTCTGTTCAAATCACTATAAGCAATAGTAATATTTATGCAGCCTTAGCAAAGCCCACTAATTTTGGCATTTTCATAGCACAAACGCAGGCTCTTTCTCTTTCTCTCTCCGCCTCTCTTATATTCTCCCACTCCACTTCTCTTTCTATTTCTCTCCGTCCTTGGCAATGATGAGCGCATGATTGAAGTGGCAAGAAGGTAATTGGCATTCTGGAACAATGATAATGACCTCTGAAAGGACTGTGCTGCCCCAGTGACAGCCACTCATTTCTGATTTGTTTGGACAGTGCATTATTCTGTTCATTTCGCCCTCTCCCTCCTAAGGTGTTCTGATTGTTTGCTAGGTGGTCCAATCTCAAATTGCTCCCTCCTTCAATGTACATCTGTGGGATTTTTCCACCTCTTTTTTGAGCATTTTGAGCAAGTGAAATTAAATGCAAAGCTAACATGTAATGTTAGAGGTCTGTTCAAATCACTATAAGCAATAGTAATATTTATGCAGCCTTAGCAAAGCCCACTAATTTTGGCATTTTCATAGCACAAACGCAGGCTCTTTCTCTTTCTCTCTCCGCCTCTCTTATATTTTGTGACTCCACTTCTCTTTCTATTTCTCTCCGTCCTTGGCAATGATGAGCGCATGATTGAAGTGGCAAGAAGGTAATTGGCATTCTGGAACAATGATAATGACCTCTGAAAGGACTGTGCTGCCCCAGTGACAGCCACTCATTTCTGATTTGTTTGGACAGTGCATTATTCTGTTCATTTCGCCCTCTCCCTCCTCGTACATTACAGGCCTTTGAAGAATCAACAGGCATTTTGTGAAAGGCTGGCCATTGGCTCCGGCTCAGATTAACCAGTGGGCCACCCGCACATGTGCCTGAGGGACTCCGATTACACTGAGGCTTCAAACTCTCACATACATTATGCATTCTGAATAAAAATGAAAAGTTTTTTGCAACCGGCTATATTAGCATTCCCAGAAATTACAAAGCAAATTCAGTTCAGCATCCAAATTACCCATAGGAAAGAAGGATGTGACCTGATTAACATCACAGTAGTATCATAGACAGCAATAAGATTAACTGAGAGGCAAATAAAGATCTCAACAGTGTCTCAAACTGTGCTCAAGTCTGAGAAGCAATCAAACGTCTGAAGAAGATCTGCTTCTGTTCCACCAGCAACACCAAGATTAAAGAGAACTTATTACGCCCCTTTTTACAAGATGTAATATAAGTCTCAGGAGTCCCCAGAATGTATCTGTGAAGTTTCAGCTTAAAATAACCCACAGATTATTTATTATACCATGCTAAAAATTACAATTTTTTAACAGGATCAAAAATATTTGTGCATGTCTTTAAATGCAAATGAGCTGCTGAATCACTTCAGAATCACTCCGGAAGTAGTAGGTCATCCGGGTACTTTTTGTCTACTCTTTTATGACTACTTCTTACTTATGACATTCTTCTTTTGTCACGTACTGTTTTCGCCTACTAAATATGAAGTATGCGATTTCGGATGACTCTACCAAATGCATAAATGTAAATGTTGAGATCTCAATATGAACTTCTTTCATGATTAAATGATCTGAGCTGCTATTCACATGAATTTTGTTGCCTCATTTGTGTCGTTGTGTCTCACGTCTCCTTTTCTTAGGAGAAACATCTGAGACAATGTTGACCTCATTTATTCAAATTCATGCACACCCAGAGAGATGGTAAACCAATGCATCAGGATATTCTCGCAAAATCACTATGCAAACTATTTATTTACAGTGACTAAGCAGTAAGATAGAAAAAATGCTTTTCATTTCATTGATTTGAATTTGAAATAAGACTTCCAATTGAACCGCTGTGCAAAAGTAACAAGAGAAACACCTTAAAAGTGACATCGAAAAAGGTCACACTCACCGTTTTTGTCAGCTCGACGGAAAATCTGTGAGGAGATAAAGATGAAAAAACAGTCAATGTGCAGTTTATCAACGCGAGCAGCATTCAGAAGCACAGAGGACTGATGGAAATGCTCAGTGCTGATCAATACTGAATAGAATTTGGTCAGAATGTCTTTAATGAACTGCCCTTTTAGAGCTTTGCTGTGTTCCCTCTTCAACACTGATGGAACGTGACATTATAACTGAGATGCCTTTATAAAGCCTGTTAGCTACAGAAACAAACAAGCCATGCTCTCAAAAACATGCACAAACCACACACCTTTTATGGAGGCAAATGTGCAATTGCTTTTGTGAAGACTTTCACTATAAGAGAAGGCTGCATTTATTTGACCAAAAATACAGTAAAAACTGTAATATTGTGAAATATTATTACAAATTAATATGACTGTTTTCTATGTGAATATCTGTTAAACTGTAATTTATTTCTGTGATCAAAGCTGTATTTTCAGCATCATTACTCCAGTCTTCAGTGTCACATGATCTTCAGAAATCAGTATAATATGCTGATCTGCTGCTCAAGAAACATTTCTGATAATTATCAATGTTGAAAACAGTTGTGCTGTTGAATATTTTTGTGGAAACCGTGATACATTTTATTTTTCAGGATCCTTTGATGAAGATAAAATGTAAAAGAGAGTTTATTTGAAATATTATTTTTTGTAACATTATAAATGTCTTTACTGTAACTTTTGATCAATTTAATGCATCCTTGCAGAATAAATTATTCATAAAAAAAAACCTTCTGTCCCCAAACTTTTGAACGTTAGTGTAGTTTTATAAATAAATCCATATGTACACTCTTAAAAATAAAGGTGCTTCAAAAGGTTCTTCAAGCGATGCCATAGAAGAACCATTTTTGGTTCCACAAAGAAGCATTCAGTCAAAGGTTCTTTAAAGAACCATCTCTTTCTTACCTTTTTGTAATCTGAAGAACCTTCTGTCACCACAAAGAAGCTTTTGTGAAACAGAAAGGTTCTTCAGATGTTAAAGCTTCTTTATGGAACCATTTAGACAAAAAGGTTCTTCTGTGGCATCGTGAAGCACCTTTATTTTTAAGAGTGTAGGCACAATTTATGTTTGCCTAAAAACTAATTTTAAGCTTTTCAGCAGAATCCTTTAGATCAAAATGTTTGTAAGATCATGAAAATCATAAATGCTACTGGTACACACACTCAGGATCATCATAACAGAGAAAATGGTTGCTGTATTCTCAAGGCAACTAATCCTGTTATCAGTCAAAGTCTCTTCTTGAGCATTTTTTTTACCACTCCTGCTTCTTCCACTGGCTCCTCAGCCCAATGGCGCAAACATATTAGATTGTGAAGGTCTGAGACTCGTCTGAGATTCAGGGTGAGAACGTTTCTGGACAGTTTGCCTGTGAGGATTATGTAGGTGTTGACAGTACAATCATCTAGTGGCTAAACATGGCTCTTTCACACCTGGACGGGTCACCACACTGTTATAGTTGTTTTCTTTTTTTGACTCCTCGAGTGCTTTTAACACCATCTGGCCTTCACTTCTGTCGATGCCCACAAGGGTTTGTTCTAGTATCTGTTTACAATCCTCAGTCTTCACTTGTAACGCATTACCTGCAGGTCTAAGCTTATTCTATGATTGTATAAGTGAACATACAAGGCTGCATACAATGGTCTGATATATTTTTAATAACCTTTAAATAAAAGGTTCTAGGTCAGAAAGCTGCATGTTCAGTTGTTGTTGCACTGCACAGCTACTTTAATTTATTTCACCTGTTCATTTGAAATAAAATAATCTTATTAACAAATATCATATGTGACTCTGGAGCACAAAAGCAGTGTTAAGTCGCTGGGGTATATTTGTAGCAATAGCCAAAAATACATTGTATGGGTCAAAATTATTGATTTTTCTTTTATGGATATTAAGTAAAGATCATGTTCCATGAAGATATTTTGTGAATTTCCTACCGTAAATATATTAAAAAACTTTGATAAGTAATATGCATTGCTAAGAACTTCATTTGGACAACTTTAAAGATGATTTTCTCAATATTTAGATTTTTTTGCACCCTCAGATTTCAGATTTTCAAATAGTTGTATCTCGACCAAATATTGTCCTATCCTAACAAACCATACATCAATGGAGAGCTTATTTATTCAGCTTTGAGATGGTGTACAAATCTGAATTTCAAAATATTGACCCTTATGACTGGTTTTGTGGTCCATGGTCACATATGTGTTATTGACAGCAATGCATTTTATTTGTTATGTATTTGAATAATTCCTGACCGTTCCATCAAAGCAGCTTAAAACACTGAATTATATTTGGATGAACTGATCGATCTAAAGCCAGACTGTTTGTTTTCATATGCACATTTATGCAAAAGTCAAACCTTTTTATCATGAAGTATCGAATATATTTTTCAGAAGTTCTGCTAATATTCCTCATTTATTTTTATTTTTCTCATTAGCAGGTTTTTATGCTATCATTTTTTAACTTCTTTTATGTAGTACTGGTCTTTGGAAGCACCTCTGTGAGAGCTGAATTTCTCTTCTAGGATCTTCTTTTACATTGTCAGGTGGCCGGTTTATTATATCTTATAAAACACAGCTGCAAGTGTTCAAATTTTACAGCAAAAACAAGCAAAACAAAGGATGATGGAATGCTACATTTCTCCAAATGTGTTCATCTGAAGAAGCAAACGCATCTACATCTCGGATGGATTGAGGGTGAGTACATTTTCAGCAAATTTACATTTCTTTAGTGAAGTCTTTCTTTAACATTTCTAAATAAATGTGCAGTTTCACAAGCTTAATAAAATACAAACAACTTTAAAACACAGCTAACTGGCTTGCAGAATTAAAATGTCATTCAGACAAATGGTATTAACTAAAACCAATAGTTGGATTCGCACACTGTGTGCATTTGGCTGAGAGTCTCACAGTCAAACAGTGCTGACTAATCCTTTTAGAGCAGATTAATCTAAGCAAAACCACACCGGGATGCAGATCAAAAGGTGAAATATACTTCGTTTATGAAGAGCAGGTCGCATGTCTGTTGATTCTTCAGCTTTATATGACACAAAAAGGTTTGTAAAAGCCAGATGTGTGACAGTGCATTGCCAAAAGATAGGTGTAGGATAATGCATCATTAACAATGTCCTTTAAAGGTCATCTGAGCTTCCTGCCGAGAGATCGTTTCCAACGGCTCTCTGGCAGGTGTTGAGCCAGTGGGGAGACATGGGTCCTACTGACTCTGTTCACTAGAAAGAGAACAAACGATTCGCAAAGCACACTATCAGTTGAGTTACGGTTTATAAATAGGCCTGACAGCATCTTAGTTAATCCAAATCTCTTTCTCCTTCAGAGCCCACGGTTCAGTATGAGCGCCCAAGAGCTTCAAACGCGGGCCGAGGGAATTATAAGTAGCTCTTTGGTCTTCTCATGTCTGTCAGCTTTAGAAATTTCGAGGATACGGACACGGGAAATATGATTAGCAATTATCGCCTCCGGGAGCGAATAAATACCTCCCACAAACACAGCCTCTGTCCGTCACGTTGCGAGAAGCGATATTTTAACACTTGAGACTTATTTTAGTGACAAAAGCAACTTTTAACGTAATTTAATGTTTTAATTAGCATCATGTACCTCATTTCTTTCTATGTGGGTCACTTATCCCAAGAGGAAATATGTTTCTGCTAATAATCTCAATCTGATATGCATACATATATGAAATATATTATCATATGAAGTAAAAACTTGTATTAAACCTATTAAAAATTTGAGCAATTTCATATATTGACATCTAATTCATACAAATTCATGTCTATGTATTTTTGACATGTACATGTATATCCATCCTAAAACCTGTCTATTCATGTTCATATTATATAAGTAAATATAAAAGATAGACATTTACTATATATATAGCCTTAGGTACCACATATGTCAATATCGATGACATTTATGATTGACTGGGAGAGTGACAAAGAAAGAATAAAAAGAGATGACAATTTATGTTTATATGCATATTGAAGCCTCTATATTACATATACATTAAGCCTATATGTAAATTAGCTATATAGCATATATAGTATACTATATACTGGCTATCTGATGTTACAATGGACGACTAAAAATAAGACATGACTATGCATTTGGATTTCTTTTTGTGCTGCGGAGTAAACTGATCAATTATTTATTCCCCAAACTGTATAACAATCAATGCTTTACAGCACAACCTATTTTAAGACTATATTGTCATATGTGCATAACCAGCCTCCCTCTCTGTCCTACATTAATAGAAGTGACACATTGACTTATTCTTGGGTTCAAGGTGAGTGTTTGCATGGTCACCTATTGGTGGGTTCAGTGACCGATCGTTTGGCTACTTACATCGTGAAAGATGGACAGTCCGTGAACCGCATCCTGCATCTGATGCTGATGCTGCTGCTGCTTAGAGCGGAGATGCTCGCGCTTCGCCGACTGAAGACACATCGTGATCATTTCGGTGCACGCCAACATCTTTAAACGAGCTGTTCAAGAACTTAGAAAGAAGAACATGCACTTAATGACGCCGATATATAAGCAGACCTCGGAGTTAATGAGATGTGACTAGCAGCACGGCGCTTGTCTTCTGGGAGAATGCTGCTGATGCTGAGGAACACTAGTGAATGCCAAAGAATCGTTCTTTTGATTGAACCGATTCTTTTGGATGATTCGGATGAACTGATTCGGACAGCGCTTGTGAATCACTCGCCTTAAATCTTTGTGGATTTTTTTCTGTCTGTTGACCAGATTTATGGAGTGATAACGAGATATATTCAAAATCTCCTCTGTAAAGAACTTTAATTTTTTAATCTGGCTTCATCCAAAATTCTGATTTCTGTTCTGGAAATATGTGCAAATTAGTGCATATTTAATTGGATACTGTCTGACTGATGGACAAAATGAATCAATGCATCTGTTTTTTATAGCAACTCTTCACTGAAGTGAGTCTCCGAACGAACCGATTCGCGGACTCGCCTTAAACCTTTGTGGATATTTTTCTGTCTGTTGACCAGATTTATGGAGTGATAACGAGATATATTCAAAATCTCCTCTGTAAAGAACTTTAATTTTTAATCTGGCTTCATCCAAAATTTTGATTTCTGTTCTGGAAATATGTGCAAATTAGTGCATATTTAATTGGATACTGTCTGACTGATGGACAAAATGAATCAGTGCATCTGTTTTTATAGCAACTCTTCACTGAAGTGAGTCTCCGAACGAACCGATTCGCGGAAATGATTCAGACGTCCAAGATCTTTCTCCACCTCCTTGGATGCTGATTGGTCCAGCAGTTGTTCAATGGACATCACTCCCTTGACTCGCTTTTACTAGGACAAATCCATTTATGTTATATACAGCAATTTATTAAATGATATGACATGATATGACAATGAATAAACACACATTAACATTTAACATTTAACATTAAACATTAAATAAAAATGTTATATAGTGTCGTCGAAACAGTATTTTAAATGTCCACAGTTCATCAGGGACACCATTCATTGAGAAGCACCATTATAATAAAAGACATAGGCTATTCAAAGTATTCTCATGGTATACCAAAGTTAAAAAAATAAATAAATACCATGGTACTCACCGGTCTATATCTAAAAACAGACTACAGTTACTTTTTTATTGATTACATATTATTCACAAAATAGCAATAAATTCTTCATAATTTATTGATTCTCCAAAATTCATTTTTTAAATAGCCTACTGCTTATACACTCAGAAAGTCTTCAAGTTTTGTGGATTTTCAAACAGAGATCAGTCATTATGGATTTACAAAACATATTTCAAGTGTTTCGACATTGCATCAACTACTGATGAACACGTTCATGTTTATTTGAATTATCACTCAGTAGGTTATTTAACCCTCTATTACAATGTCTTTGGAAGGTTTTAGTCTTTCAAACACATTAAAATGCACAAATTCACATTATTTATTATTTACACGTAATGCAGACATTCCCAAGCTTTTTGTCATCTGAACATCTTTCACCTAATATATTTATTTAAAGTACCCCTGAGATTTAAAAATAAATATTTAATAACTAATATCACATTTGCATGTTCAAGGTTCTCTGACATTGGCTAATGGTCACATGACACGCAGGTAAACAAAGAAAATAATTCATTTTTTAGATTTATTTCGATTTATGATATTTTAAAATGATTTATTTTCATTTGACATTTTTATTATTTCATTAATGATTAACTTTTCATTAAACTCACTGCTGTACCTTTACGAACCCCGGTACGGGAAACCTTGATAATGTAGTGTTTAATGCATTTTATGTTGTTAATTTCAATGAATGGAATATATTTTCTTACTCCTTGTATATCAGTAGGCTACAATATTATCCTATTTAAATCAACGTGATAAACAAGTTAGGTCAAAAGTAATCAAAAAGTAGTCTGATTAGATTACCTGAAATGTGTAATGTATCGGATTACGTTACTATAACTACAATTTTTGTCATGTAGTTTCGGAATCACTAACAGATTACAATTTGTAAGTAATCTACCCAGCTCAGTACTCATAATTAAAAACTCATGGCAGCTCAGGGTATAATATCCAAAAACGTCATGTACCGTAGAAATGACAGATATACCATGTTTTTGTATAATAGTACTGGCTTATATTTCAAAGTACCATATAGTATTAAGAGGAGATACACCATCACTTTGCCATGATTACCAATACATGCCCTGACAAACAGCGCCATCTCGCACAAGAACAATAAGAAGAACAAATAAAAAAATAATAATGTTAAGAAATACATGACCTGCTCATTCTGAAGTACACACACACACACACACACACACACACACACACACACACACACACACACATACACACACAGTGACCAAATGTTTTTTCTCCCTTCAAAATTGATGAACGTTTTTGTTTTGCATTTAAAACACACACACACACACACACACACACACACACACACACACATCTAGTGTCTTTAAAACACAATGTACGCATCCTGTACAAACAAACATTACAAAAAATCACTGGCTGCTCACTACCCTCCCTGGAAAGCATTGCTCGCTCCCATTATCTCTCAAGGGCCAAAAACATCATCAAGGACACATCCCATCCATAAGTGCACTAACTAATTAAAATACTATTCCAACCACGTTATTCTTTTAACTACAGTCACTTATTCCATTCAAATATCTTCTGTCTATACTGCTGCTATACAACATGCAATATACAATATGCAATATGTCAATCTGCAATAGGCTACCACTGTCTGAACACTTTATTTATCAGAACAAATGCACTAAATAGTATGTCAGGGTGAAATACCATATCTGCTTACTAAATGTGAAACACTATATCTGCAGTAAAGGTGCAATAGGCTAATATACACTATTCGTCAATGTGCAATACTAGCTATATCTAGTCACTAAATCACTAGTTACATTTAAATTGTACTTTTGTATAAACTTACTGTGCATATCAATGTGAAGGTCACTTTAAATGGTCACTTTACTCAGATTGCTCAATGTGAATGTCACTTGTTGTATTTACTTTTAAGATTGCACTGTACAGACTTATACTCTTATTTATTGTCTGTGGTTATGTGTCTGTTTTTCTAACACCAGGCAGGAGCAGAGCTCCTAATTTCGTTGCATGCAGAAACAACACAATGACAATAAAGGCGTTCAATTCAACGCAGCGTCCGAATGCGTCGCGTCACGTGACGGGGTTGCGTCGTGACGTCACTCTGACATGGAGGCGGAGCCAGCGCTGGCGGCGGACCGTTGGTCGCCCGGTTGAGTTGAGATGGAGCAAAGTTCATTCAAACGACGGGAAGTTTACCCCAGAACCCGTTAAAAACGAGACCTAGCAACGTTCCCCGTGATCGTAAGACGGTAAGATACAAGCGACACACGCGTATAGAGGACAAAATGGAAGAAAAACAGCCGTTAGCTCGTTAGCTCGTGACTGACTGCGTTAGACTGCGTGACGGGTGATGTGTTGACAGCTCATTAATTAATCTACGCAGTTTACAGTCTGAAACGATTATAAACTATCAGTTTCAAAGACTTAGATGCGTGTAGTTGACTTATAAACCTCTTGCTAGTTTTTTTTGTAGCTGCGTCAGTCAGTGACGCTGCGTGACGTCACGTCTGTACAGTATCATAACAAAACATGGTCCTCGAGATGCTTGTAATACTAATATTGATTTCTGTGGTGTGTGGTCAAAGTCTCATGCTAATGCCACCTGATACCATCTCTGCACCGTGGTAAAACCACAGTGAACTACATTAAGACAGTTCAATTGCACGTTTCCTGAAATGTCATGTTTACATATGCAAATGAGGCATTGTCTAATTAAATATGCACTCATTTGCATACATTTCAGAGTATGAGTTCAGAAACCTGAACACAGGATAAATAATTGTGTTTTTGTTGACTGGTTAGAGTTAAAAGCAGATACAGAAGGGATTTTGGATTTGTCTAGTGCACAGTTACATACTCGTTTAAAGTCCACTTATGCTATTCTGTGTGTGTTATCTTAAGGGTTTTCCATTGTTTTAATCTGAGTTTTAGTGTAACGTTATAATAGCATGCTTATTTTTATTTAAAGAAGAAACCAATCCAATGTATAATTGACTAAATGTATAAACACTAAAGAAAAGCGTTTTTTAAGCGTATTTTTATATTAAAAAATGGCATGTGGTTGCTTCAAACAATGGTATACATATAATTCAATGTAAATTGTGATAATCGTAATTAATAATCGCAGTTTCAAGGGAATATTCATAATTTTGGTCATAATGGCGCGGGCCCTCGATTTCTCTTTTTGCCACTAATACTGCCGACAACCATTTTCATCATGTTTTTAAGAAAAAAAGTTATGCAAATCGATAAAATAAACACCGAAACGTGTATTTTGGATGTTTTCTTTCTGCTAATCTGAAAGACGAGATGTTATGAAAACAAAATGGGCCAAAATCTCAAAATGTACCAGTGCATGAAAATGTCATCTCTTGCCTAATTAAAAGTGAAACCACAGTCATCAAAAGTAGTTCCTGTGCTAATTTGTGAACTATTCAAATCATTACCGGTCAATTTATAAAGTGCTTAAAAATCTTCATCATTTTTCATGTTGTTGACAGTGTGCTGATGGGAGCTTTTACCATGATGCACTGGCACGCAGAATTAAAGGGATAGTTCACCCAAAAATGTAAAATGTGATGTTTATCTGCTCACCCCCAGGGCATCCAAGATGTAGGTGACTTTGTGTCTTCAGTAGAACACATTTGATGAGTTTTAACTTTAACCGTTGCAGTCTGTCAGTCGTATAATGCATGGCAATGGTAACAACATCTATGAGAGTAAAAAAACAAAAAAGCCTGCTCGCCTAAGGTTATGGTTGATTGCTCTTCGGCTGGATATCGACACACCCATTAACGTAAACTATGCCAGAGCGCGTAGCTGCGTACACACCTCCGGTGCGCGCGCCCAAAGCAGTTGGACATAGTGCTGTATTAGAGGTAAAATATGATATAAATACTGTTTGGTTTCTGGCACAAACTGATCGTTTCGTGTCTTAGGACATCAATGTGTCGTCACGAGCCGCAGGGTTTAATTTGGATTTGTCTGTGCATGTTTTTTTTACTCTCATAGATTTTGTTACCATTGCCATGCATTATACGACTGACAGACTGCAACGGTTAAAGTTAAAAATCAAGAGCAAATGTAGGATCAATATTTATTATTTTCATATTCTTTCTCTAGACTAAAAATTAATGTTATTCTGATAAATACAATATTAAAGTGTAATGATTTTTTTTTGCAGTTTTGAATGAGCTTTTATTTTTATATTTTCAGTTTTGTTTTATATTTTCAGCATTAATAATAATTATGTTTTGTGTTTTTGTCGTTTATATTTTTAATATTTTGTTTTAGCTTTATTTTTATTTTATTTTAGTAATTTTAGTATTTCAACTTATATTTAATGCAATATTTCTATTTGTTTTTAATATAATATTTATATTCTATAATATATTTATATTATGTTTTGTTTTGTCATTTATATTATTTTTATAAATAAACATCAAATTTTACATTTTTGGGTGAACTATCCCTTTAAGCCAGAAAAAACTAAAGATGGTTTATTGATAAACCCTGAAGCTCTGCTGCTGGTGTCTCCAGGGAGCTGATGGATGGATGTTAATCAGGCATCTTGAAAGAGTTTAGACCTTTTAACAGAATATTTCTCACAACAAACTGACTTATTTTCAAGTCATTCTGAATGAGAATTGAATGTAGTCTTCAAGTTGTACAGTATTGATGACTGTTATAGTGCTTTTACGTTCTTATTGGAGTACCCAACTCTCTTTGTGGGAAAGAACAAATAGGGCACTAAGGTGAAGTTTTGTTGAAATTGTGAGAAGAATTTATTTTCGTATCACTGAGATATTATTATAGTTTTTGTAAAAATGTTTAATCAGTTTTTATTTAATTTATTGTCCCTTTTCATTTTAATTTTAGTTTAAATATTAGTAATTTCGTCATGTTTTTGTGATTTATTTATATAGTTTATATACATTTTTCTTTCAGTTTTAGTGCATCACCTTAAAAAGCACGTTCTAACTGCTTTTGTATAGTTTTAATAATCAGTTTATTTGTAAGGAATACACTACAGTGATTTTCACATTTGATTACTATTTGTTTTTCTTATTTGAATGCTTCTGTTTAGATGTAAGATGAAAAAAGCAATGCATTATTTAATTTGTTTCTTTCTAATATTATATTTGTTCTACTGTTTATTTGCATCGTTGTTCTAATTTTTAATAAAAAAGGGGGGGAAATAGCTATATTTATTGTGATTATTAATATAGTAATTATTAATAAGAAAAGAAGTGGAGGAAAAGATGCAACGTTGCTCGGTGATTTTACTTTGGAACCTTCAGAAAACTTTAACTCAATTTTTTATTTTTTTATTTACTTTGCTGAATCGACTTCAAACGGGTGTAACAACGTAATTGTTTGGTTGATTCCAACAAATCATGCATCATTTTGAAGGTTTTTCTCATTTTGCCAGCAAAGGTCACATATAGGTCACATATAGTATATTTGTAGTTATGGAAAATATCAGCAGAGCAAGTACAAATCCTATTGTTTGTTGATGAAATGCCTGACTTGAAGAAGTAAAATGATTTACAACCAGCATTTCTTGTTGACATTTACAGTCTGTCCCAATCATAATTGATTATAAGCTCTGTTTGTTCTCTTTGGTTCATCAGTGGAATGCCATTGGGCTCTGTGTGTGTGTTTATCAGCACTTTCTCTCAGTAGACAGACTGATTCCTGTAGTGACTGAGAGCCCTGGAAGTCTCTTAGAATTACATCATCTGTAATCTACCAAGGATTACTCGAGACTTCTGTTGTGAGATTAGCTGTTACAGACGGAATGAGGATGTGCTTCTCACACCAGCACTGATCTGGGATCAGATGTGTCGATATGCATTGCATTTGGTGACAGATCAGCCAGTAAAAGCATGTAAGACAGTGGGTTTTGTTGGCTTAGTTAACATGACATTATATCCTTTTTTGCTCGTGAATGTTCCACCTTTTTCCACTATTTACTTCTATCTCAGCTCATGAGTTTTTGTGATGATGAGATTTAACAGAATTAATATTGATCTATATGCTTATTTGTGTGTTTTAGATTTGATCCACAACTGTTTTAATGGCTGCACAATGAAGGCCCAACTTCAGATAACAGGTGAGCTGATAATCTCTATTTTATGTTTTTGCATGTGTTGACTATTTTTGTTTGCACTCGTTGCAATGTAGCCCCAAGATTTTGTTGTCATGTCAACAGATTAATACTTTTAATAGATCTGTGATTATAGTTGTCGTCTTTTATCAGTTCTGTCCGCTAAGCTGCGGGACAATAAGAAGAATTGGTTTGGGCCCAGTCCTTATGTTGAGGTGTGTGTGGACGGCCAGTCCAAGAAGACGGAGAAGTGCACCAACACTCACAGTCCCAAATGGAAACAGTCTCTCACTGTGTAAGAATGAAATGCATACTAAAATAATTTTTTCATATGTATTTTACATTTTTACATATTTAAAAAACATTTTTGAGTTACAGAGCAAATGTAGGATCAATATTTATTATTTTCATATTCTTTCTCTAGACTAAAAATTAATGTTATTCTGATAAATACAATATTAAAGTGTAATGATTTTTTTTTGCAGTTTTGAATGAGCTTTTATTTTTATATTTTCAGTTTTGTTTTATATTTTCAGCATTAATAATAATTATGTTTTGTGTTTTTGTCGTTTATATTTTTAATATTTTGTTTTAGCTTTATTTTTATTTTATTTTAGTAATTTTAGTATTTCAACTTATATTTAATGCAATATTTCTATTTGTTTTTAATATAATATTTATATTCTATAATATATTTATATTATGTTTTGTTTTGTCATTTATATTATTTTTATAATATTTTTATAGCTTTTTTATTTTTTTTTAGTAATTTTAGTATTTCAACTTAAATTTGAGGCAAAATGTCACATTTTTTTATTACTGTTTTTTAATATTTAGATTTTATTTCAGCTTCATTTCAGTTACGTAAAATGGTCATTTTAACAACGCTGCTCTGTTGATCATATTCCGTGTAGGATCGTCACCCCTTTCAGCAAGTTAATTTTCCGGGTTTGGAGTCACCAGACACTTAAATCTGACATTTTGCTTGGCATGGCCGCTCTGGAGGTCAGCGAGACCTTAAAAGCCAACAATATGAAGAGTGAGTTGCACCAACACTCACAGTCCCAAATGGAAACAGTCTCTCACTGTGTAAGAATGAAATGCATACTAAAATAATTTTTTCGTATGTATTTTACATTTTTACATATTTAAAAAAATATTTTTGAGTTACAGAGCAAATGTAGGATCAATATTTATTATTTTCATATTCTTTCTCTAGACTAAAAATTAATGTTATTCTGATAAATACAATATTAAAGTGTAATGATTTTTTTTTGCAGTTTTGAATGAGCTTTTATTTTTATATTTTCAGTTTTGTTTTATATTTTCAGCATTAATAATAATTATGTTTTGTGTTTTTGTCGTTTATATTTTTAATATTTTGTTTTAGCTTTATTTTTATTTTATTTTAGTAATTTTAGTATTTCAACTTAAATTTGAGGCAAAATGTCACATTTTTTTATTACTGTTTTTTAATATTTAGATTTTATTTCAGCTTCATTTCAGTTACGTAAAATGGTCATTTTAACAACGCTGCTCTGTTGATCATATTCCGTGTAGGATCGTCACCCCTTTCAGCAAGTTAATTTTCCGGGTTTGGAGTCACCAGACACTTAAATCTGACATTTTGCTTGGCATGGCCGCTCTGGAGGTCAGCGAGACCTTAAAAGCCAACAATATGAAGAGTGAGTTTCCATATTCTCCACTTGTGTGAATCTCATTAATCAGAGTCAGGTCTCTATAGTGTGTGTTAGAGTGTTTTTGTGCTTTATTGCCTCTTTGTAATAGAGAAAGGCAGGTGAACTGACTCATAGTACCAAACAAAGAGTCTTTTCAGATACTTTGGCCACATGGGAATCATGTGACCATTCGCAGCTAATGTGAATTACAGAACTGCAGATTGAGTGAATACAACCTGAGGGCGTTGAGTAGCCCACAACCAGGTTACCATTTCCTTTTCCTGTGACCTGAAGTGTCACTGTGAGCTTGTTTACCCAGTGAAGCCAATTTAGATCAGCTTCTATGTCAAGTCACCTCTATTTATAACAATACAGATTATGTCAAAGCAACTGTACAGCATCAATTAGGAAAATAGTGTGTCAATAATGCAAGATGACAATAGTAAACACTCAATTTTCAGTTAAAGGCAGTTCATCATTTAATTCAGTGATCATCCAGCTCAGTTCAGTTTATATAGTGTCTGTGCAATCAAGTCGAGGATATGTGTCCCTGGAGCACAAAAGCAGTGTTGAGTCGCTGGGGTATATTTGTAGCAATAGCCAACAATACATTGTATGGGTCACAATTACAGATTTTTCTTTTTTGGCAAAAATCATTAGGATATTAAGTAAAGATCATGTTCCATGAAGATATTTTGTAAGTTTCCTACTGTAAATATATCAAAACTTAATTTTTGATTAGTAATATGCATTTAAAGGTGCATTGTAATATGCAACGTTAAAGGTGATTTTCTCAATATTTAGATTTTTTTGCACCCTCAGATTCCAGATTTTCAAATAGTTGTATCTCGGCCAAATATCGTCCTATCCTAACAAACCTTACATCAATGGAAAGCTTATTTATTGTATACATGTATACATCTTAATTTCAAAAAATGTATCCTTATCACTGGTTTTGTGGTCCAGGGTCACACATATGCTGTATATGACTATGAATATGCTTTAAAAGTTTACATTTATTTAATCAGCTTTATATTGCTATTCTTGTTAAAAACAAGCTCGCAAGCCATAATGATGTCTGATATGTGAGCAAATCATTCTTGTGAGTCAGTTTTTTCAATAAATCTTTTGAATCAATTCATAACTCAGTAATCTTCTTCAATGTTCTGAAACAAAATGATGTTCAAGAATTCATTGATCAATCAGAATGCTGCTTCTACAGGCTATTAATATGACTTATTTATTGTATACATGTATACATCTTAATTTCAAAAAATGTATCCTTATGACTGGTTTTGTGGTCCAGGGTCACACATATGCTGTATATGACTATGAATATGCTTTAAAAGTTTACATTTATTTAATCAGCTTTATATTGCTATTCTTGTTAAAAACAAGCTCGCAAGCCATAATGATGTCTGATATGTGAGCAAATCATTCTTGTGAGTCAGTTTTTTCAATAAATCTTTTGAATCAATTCATAACTCAGTAATCTTCTTCAATGTTCTGAAACAAAATGATGTTCAAGAATTCATTGATCAATCAGAATGCTGCTTCTACAGGCTATTAATATGAATTTTTCAGTTCTGTAAGCAGTGTTATGTTGTGTGTGTCTCAGTCTGTGAGGTGGTGCAGACGCTGCAGTTGAGTTCAGACCGAGAGCGCTCGGAGGTGGTTGGAGATCTCTCAGTGTGTCTGGATGGACTGCAGGTGGATCCCGAGACTTTTGCTTCTGAGGAACAAGAGCACAGTTGAGACCTTCTTTATCCCTACAAAACACACTCGGCTTGTTTTCAACAACAGCTGAGAGATCTCGATTCTTTGCTGTTTAAAATATAGACTTCCCACACGTGAAGTTGTGTAATGTTTCTCTTCTGTCACAGATGCTGTTGTAAATGGAGAATCCAAACTGAACGGGGATGTAGCAGGAAGGTAAAATAAAGATTACTATGCTTTACTGTGCTATTTCTGAAAGAATAGTACCACGTTATGTGCTTATAGCTTTTTTGCTTTTGTTTGAATTCTTGGTGAAATTAGTACTCCAGGGAAATATCTTGACTGCTCGCTCGGTGCACTAAGCGTTTTATGGCTCGTAATACACCATTTATTGATACATAAAAGTAGAGTGATTTTTTTTTTCTTCCTTCTGTGGTGTATCTTCTCTTGTATATTCTCATTGGTTTAAATAAGATGCATAGCTGAATTGTGGAATTTAAAATATATTTTTATTTCAGTTTAATTGTATTATTTCAACATATTTGTTGCCATATGTTAGAAGTTAAATTGTGGAATATAAAACATTTGTCATGCACATAAAACAGGAGTGAGCTAGATGTCAAAAAATATATTTCTATTCAGCTTAAATTTATTTTTATTTTCTGTTTAATTCTGTTAAATTAGTTTTAAATAAGATGCAAAAAATGATGGTCAGATTATTGAATGTTAGCAGATGAATTATGGAATATAAAACTATATTATGCACATAACACAGGAATGTTCTAGATGTTGAAAAATTATGTATTTTTTTTATATTTCTTTTGAGCTTTTATTTAATTTAATTTAATTTAATTTCATATTTAGTTTCAGTTATTTTAGTACTTATTTCAGTCAGCTGCCATTATTGAATATTAGCAGTTAAATTATGCAATATAAAACTTCTGTGCCATGCACATAAAACTAGAGTGTTCTAGATAATGACTGTTAAAAAGGTTATTTATTTTTAATATTTATATTTACTTTCAGTTATTTTGTATTTCAGTTTATTTCAGTTTTAATAACATGTATAACAAATTATGGCCAAATTATTGAACACATAAAACAGGAATATTTTAGATGTTAAAATACTCATTTTAAATATATATATATATATATATATATATATATATATATATATATATATATATATATATATATATATATATATATATATATTAATATTTGTATTTAGCAGTTGACTTATGCAATAAAGCTTATATGTCATGCAAATTCAACAGGAATGTTCCAGACTTTTTCAGACCAGCACATTTCCTTTATATTATGACTGATGCCTATTGATGTTAAACAGCTATTGTATAAGTTGAACCTGCTTTAAGTATCTGACTAAACCTCAGTCTTTGCACCTATTGAATGTTGACATTTGTGTCTGTTTGTTGTTGGTCTAGTCGAGATTCTTCCCCATCCAGTGCCATCGCTGATGAAGCGGTGCTGCCCAATGGTCATGCAGTGGGACGTCCGGGGTCTGCCTCTCCATCAGCAGGGGCTCTGAGACCACCCCACCCATCTCGACCCCAGCGGCCACATAAACCTACTTCCTCCACAGGTAGGGAACATTTTCAAAGGAGTCACATCCTGAATCTTAAAGGGATAGTTCACCCAAAAATGAAAATGTGATGTTTATCTGCTTAACCCCAGGGTATCCAAGATGTAGGTGACTTTGTCTCTTCAGTAGCACACAAACGAAGATTTTTAACTCAAACCGTTGCAGTCTGTCAGTCATATAATGGAAGTGAATGGAAATCACGGCTTTGAGAGTCAAAAAAAAACATACACAAGCAAAACCAAATTAAACCCTGCGGCTCGTGACGATACATTGATGTGTAAAGACACGAAATGATCGGTCTGTGCAAGAAACTGAACAGTATTTATAACGTTTTTTACCTCTGATTCACCGCAATGTCTGAACTGTCCTGAGCGCGTCCTCGACAGCCGGGGCGTGACGCATCTTCTTCTTCTTGCTTTACGGCAGATCGCAGACTTATAAGTGCATTACCGCCACCTATCTCTCAAATGGACCATTGACACACTATCTACAATCTCAATTAGGAGTGTCAGTGGTAAAAACGATATAAATACTGTTCAGTTTCTTGCACAGGCCGATCGTTTCGTGTCTTTACACATCAATGTATTGTCACGAGCCACAGGGTTTAATTTGGTTTTGTTTGTGTATGTTTTTTTGACTCTCAAAGCCGTGATTCCCATCCACTTACATTATATGACTGACAGACTGCAACGGTTTGAGTTAAAAATCTCCGTTTGTGTTCTACTGAAGAAACAAAGTCACCTACGTCTTGGATGCCCTGGGGGTAAGCAGATAAACATCACATTTAATTTTTTGGGTGAACTATCCCTTTAATAGCACTTTGTTTAGATTACGTGGCTCTAAGTTGAAGTTCCCTAGCTACAGTGGGTACGGAAAGTATTCAGACCCCCTTAAATTTTTCACTCTTTGTTATATTGCAGCCATTTGCTAAAATCATTTAAGTTAATTTTTTTTCCTCATTAATGTACACACAGAAGGAGTGGCTTCACAACAGCTCTGTGACTGTTCTTGAATGGCCAGCCAGAGCCCTGACTTAAACCCAATTGAGCATCTCTGGAGAGACCTAAAAATGGCTGTCCACCAACGTTTACCATCCAACCTGACCGAACTGGAGAGGATCTGCAAGGAGGAATGGCAGAGGATCCCCAAATCCAGGTGTGAAAAACTTGTTGCATCTTTCCCAAAAAGACTCATGGCTGTATTAGATCAAAAGGGTGCTTCTACTAAATACTGAGCAAAGGGTCTGAATACTTAGGACCATGTGATATTTCAGTTTTATTTTATTTTTATAAATCTGCAAAAATGTCAACAATTCTGTGTTTTTCTGTCAATATGGGGTGCTGTGTGTACATTGAGGAAAAAAATTAACTTAAATGATTTTAGCAAATGGCTGCAATATAACAAAGAGTGAAAAATGTAAGGGGGTCTGAATACTTTCCGTACCCACTGTATTCACTGCATTGTTTTTTTAGCGTCCTCTGCAGGCTCGACTCCCACTCACGGCAGCAGCGCTCCCAGCCCGGAAACATCTCCACGGGTGTGTGTGAACGGAGAAACCGAGAGTCAGGGGTCAGGCTCAGGGTCAAATCAGGCTCCCAGGGCCAGTCCAACGCCACCCAGAGCTTCACTGATCAGTAACGGCCTTCTTCCTCCTGGGTACGTCATACAATTACAGTGAATCTTCTAATTTACTAGCTATATGCCACATGGAGCCTTTAATAACAGCAGATGCTCCTGCTGCATGTCAGAATGAATGGATGAAAATAAAGTCATTTTATTATAATAAGCCTGTATGGATTTAGTCTGATATGTTTTCTTTTTCATTTATTGGTGTGTGTGTGTAGCTGGGAGCAGAGAGTGGATCAGAACGACCGCGTTTACTACGTGGATCACATTGAAAAAAGAACCACATGGGAAAGACCAGAACCACTTCCGCCAGGGTAACCATGCTGTTTCTCAGTTTTACAGATTTGTCACTTTGTTGCTAATAGATATTTAAATTGCATATCGATTACAAAGAGTGAGGCTAAAGTATACAAATTAAATAACCTAAATAAATGCTTTTATGTAAAACATAAGATGTCAGTTAAAGCTCACCTCTTTTAGTCATTATGCCACTTTACCTACTGAAATAAGACAAGTTCCCAAACATTCATTTTAATAGAGCATCTGATGACATAGCATTTAAACTGCCTTTCGATTAGTATATTTTAAGCCAGTTTAGTCATTGTATTTTTATTGACGATCTTTTAAATGTCATGCTTTTGATTGTTTTTATGCTTTCTAAAGATTTTCTTATTTTCTGACCTGTGACCTTAATTTTATGTATTTGAAAGATAATGTTATATTTAAATAATAATAATATTTATAATAAAATCAATAATAGTAAAAATTATAATAATAATAATTTTGTTTAAAATAATAATAATTATTGTTGTTTTTGTTATCAGCAATCATCATAAAAATTATAATTTTAAACAATAATATTAATATCAATGATACATTTATTACAATTTTTTTTTCTGACCTGTGACCTCTGGCCTTTTAGCTCAATTTTGTATGAAAAATAAATGCTAAAGAGTTATACTTATATTTAAATAAAAACATAATAATCATTTTTGTTGTTGTCATCATCAGAAATTATCATTGTTAATTTTTAAATAATAATAGTAATAATGATAAAATATTGTGTTATTGTTATGATTATTTAAAAATATGTTGTAAGTGTAAAAATTGCCAGTGAACAAAACCCAAGGTCAGATGTAAAAGTGTCCTTGATGAGCAGTTGTTTGGAGAACCTTGTGTGTGTTTTGTGGTAGCTGGGAGCGTCGTTTGGACCCGATGGGCCGTGTGTACTATGTGGATCATATAATCCGAACCACCACATGGCAAAGACCTACACTCGAGTCGGTCCGGAACTACGAGGAGTGGCAGAACCAGCGCAGTCAGCTGCAGGGAGCCATGCAGCGCTTCAACCAGAGATTCATCTATGGGGTGAGTAAATGCGTAAAAGAGAAAGTACAGTCTGCCGGTTAGACTCTTTTTCAAATGATTTGAAATGAAAGGACGTCAGGATTTCCTCTATAACCCGAGCTGCTCATCTCTTCAGCTGCAGGAACAGCTTGCGCCTACAGCTAATAAAGAGTTTGACCCTCTGGGTCCTCTGCCGCCGGGATGGGGTGAGTCACCGCTCTTTCATTTTTATGCGGCAGAAAGAGGAAATCACATTTTACCCTCGTAATAGAGCAGCTCGTGCTGCCTTAGTGTGTGTGTGTGTGTGTGTGTGTGTTAGTGAGTGTGTCTGTTTGTTTGGCACACAGAGAAACGGACTGACAGTAATAGGAGGATGTATTTTGTTCACCATCCTACAAGATCCACACAATGGGAAGACCCTCGAACACAAGGGTGCGACACGATCACAAGCCGACATTATAACTTTATTCATATTCTAGATTTCTTTTAGTTCATAGTTTTAATTATTTTTAATTTGTTAAGTTTAGTAATTTTATCAGTTTTTTTTATTATTATTATTATTTTTTTTCTGATTTAGTTTTAATTTATTTCCAGTTAGTAATTTTTTGTTGCTTGCCAAAGCAGCATTCTCATTTTTGTTCAGTTTTTCATCTAATATTTACAATTTATTTTATTTCTGCTTTAGTTAAAGCTGCAGTCCGTAACTTTTTTTGGTTAAAAATGATCCGAAATCAATATTTGAGCAAGTACATAACCAGCCAGTGTTCAAAACTATTGCCTTACTTTAGCACGATTCACTACGGTTAGCTTATAATAATGTTTTTAATTTGAGTGGTACGGGTAGGTTTTCGCGGGAAATTCGAGCATGGCACCGCGTCATTACATCACGTCTGTAAACATAAAGAAGTTGTCCCGGCTACTAGGCTATCGCACGTGAGGATCCTGCAGGTGGCCGATCGTTTATAGCCTTTTCTCACAGCAGCTGGAACAATTAAATTAAATATAATTTTGATGGCGGATTGTAATCCATAAAGGACTATGTTTATGAAACACATGTGAATGAAATTAAATTATATTTCAGTTATAAATGTGCTTCTGATTACAGATAGCCTGGGATTACAAAGATTTGTATTTTAAAGAAAACCAGTTCGAAGGGAGCATACTTTGCTTTTTGGGTTAAAAGAATTTCTTAATATGAAATTCGAAGAGTATGACAATTAGATTAGACTTTGCAGAAATTGAAATCTACACACTAATACACACTATACTCCTAGTCACCAATGCTGATGTTGTTAACATTAATCATTTGAGAATAAAGTATAACAATAATAATAATTTGTTTAGAGTCAGTGTTTACATTTTCATTGTTTGAAATTTTAATCAGCAAAACACAACAGAATGATTGAACAACAGAATAAATGTAGTCGTTTTAATGGTTGTTAATTCAACTTTTTGAGCTACTGTCAGTGAAGATTCATGTTTAAAAAATGTATTTTTAAATTCATGTTATAATTAATAAGCATAATAGTTAAGAATAAAAGTTTGATAAGTAATACACAATAATTAATACATATTATTATTATTATAATTAATTACTTATAATAATTATACCAAATTAATTCCAAATAATGCTAAAATTGTATTTAGGTGTGATGAAAAAGTGATTTTGTTTTGTCGGTATGCATTAGCAGTTGAAAAAATAAATGCATTTAATTGACTTTTTTAGAGATGAGTCCTTTAAAGAGTTCTGAAAAGGAATGGCTTATACAAATAGTACCAAAGCAAATATTTTCACATGTGATTTAATTTATAATAAAATATGTTTTTGATACCAAAGCAACTAGCAATTCCTCAGCACCTTAAGATCCACGTCAGTCGCAAAACACTGTTTGAGGACTCCTTTCAGCAGGTGAACGACACTTTTTGTACGTATTTGACTAGTTAATTTACTTGTGTCATTATGTGGCATGCATAAAGAAATGAAATGCTTGTGAATTGATTTGTTTAGATTATGAGTTGCCATCCTCAAGATCTGAGACGGAGACTGTGGATTATTTTCCCGGGGGAGGAGGGACTTGACTATGGAGGCGTGGCCAGGTATATTGCGTTATTTACAGGAAGTGATGACTTGAGTTGCTATATGCACACACACACACACACAAAATAATGTTGTGTTTCTGTCATAGGGAATGGTTCTTCCTGCTGTCTCACGAGGTCTTGAACCCCATGTACTGTCTGTTCGAGTACGCCGGCAAAGACAACTACTGCCTGCAGATTAACCCCGCCTCCTCCATCAACCCTGACCACCTCAAATACTTCAAGTTCATTGGCCGGTTCATCGCTATGGTACGACTGACCTCTGAAGTATCTTAGTTTGAAATGCATTGAAAGCTTCTGAATATTATTTGTACGTTCTCTCTCACACAGGCTCTGTTTCATGGGAAGTTCATAGACACGGGCTTCTCTTTGCCTTTTTATAAGCGCATCCTGAACAAACCTCTGGCTCTGAAAGACCTGGAGTCCATCGACCCAGAGTTTTACAACTCGCTCATCTGGATCAAGTGAGTGAGAAGGAGTTGAATGAGTTACAGAGATAATAGTGAGGGCTTGGGGGTTAAAATTGTGGTCATCCGGGATATGAATTACTAGGAAATTAAGAATCCCAATTGGTCCTAACTACAAAGTGTTTTTCTATAGGGATAATAATATAGAGGAATGTGGCTTGGAGATGTTTTTCTCGGTGGATAAGGACATTTTGGGAGAAGTCACCACACATGAACTCAAGCCTGATGGAGGAAACATTCAGGTGACAGAGGACAATAAAGAGGAGTATATCAGGTAAGAAATCTCATTTATACAGATTTATTACAGACAATATTTTTAATTTAGAAATATATATATTTTTAATTATATATATATATATATATATATATATATATATATATATATATATATATATATACAGTATATATATATATATTGAGTTGGTGTTTTTTTTTCAATAGTTCAAAAGAAGTCCAATAAAGTGCATCCTTCCATCATAAAAAGTGTCCCGCATGACTCCATATCAGTGTTTTATATTTCAAAATATTATATTAGATGTATCATATATATACAATATATAGTTATATGAATAATAATATAACTATTTTAAATATTATATAATTTTTTTTACATTTACAAAAAAGTTAGCTACTAGGACTGTAAAAATATCTTATGAAAATTCAATGCGAGTTCAAAGTATTGCTTATTTGTCTCTTGTGTTACATTTGTGTCTTCAGCATGTTTTTTTTTAAAAACAATTAGGAATTTTGTACCAAAATAAACAAATTTGCCATATTAGCCATAATGTCAGTGAGTGATTGTGAAATCAAACGTGTTTGCAGGTTGGTTGCTGAGTGGAGGTTGTCCAGAGGGGTCGAGGAACAGACTCAGGCGTTTCTCGAGGGCTTTAATGAGGTCTTGCCGCAGCAGTACCTGCAATACTTTGATGCCAAAGAGCTGGAGGTACAAACTACACTTCATAACATTCAAAGGCCTTTTCTGTACAAATGCATCTCTGAGCTCCAAATGTCACAAGACATTTTCAACTATATTTTGTGTCTGCTGTTAATATCAGGTGTAAATGAGGCCATAGACACGATGTGTTTTGTCTGCTCTGAACGTGTAATTGTGCTGTAGGTGATGCTGTGTGGGATGCAGGAGATCTATTTTTAATTATATATATATATATAATATATAAAATGTTGGGATCAGTATGATTTTTAATGTAATTGTAAAATAATTGTTATCTAATATAATATACTTTAAAATATAATTTATTTCTGTGATGCAGAGATGTATTTTCAGCATCATTACTCCAGTCTTCAGTGTCACATGATCCTTCAGAAATCCTTCTAATATGCTGATTTCCA